CCAATTTGCATTGAGGTCCCTGTAGTTACTGAATAATAAGAGTACGTAATAAGCCTGGGATTTTAAGGGGTTAGCTGAGTATATGTGTGGTACATTCTCCAAAGTAGCCTGTAATTATTCTAGGTAAAATGATGATAAGTACCAACACAGTCCAAATTACACTTAAATGACTAACAGGTTCTAGCTACTAAACTGTTAAAGACATAGTACAATTCCTCATAAATATTTGGGATAGTGAAGTAATATACACTACAGTTTACTGTATTGCGACACATATAAGCAGGAAAGTAAATCGGAAACATCTCTGAGTATCAGGTCATTATGCTACCAGGTTGCATAAAATGATGGCATGATATAATAAGTAGTTATAGATAGTTTTCTGAAGTAAATGATGAGTGACAATCATTGCTTTCTTTTACAGCCCAGATTCAGTTTTGTTAAAAGGTAATAAACAGGTACATAATATGTAAAAGTCTTTGTTTTTTACGCCACACAACTAAAACTGTTGACATTGTGTCTATTAGTTAGACTGAATTGGAACTTGCTGCTATTATGATGACACCCAAAATGATAATCTAGTTCTTTGGAGTTTATACCTCACTTTTACCTGGTTAATAACTTAAGGCACTGTAAAAGAAAGTGTCACTGAATTCGTGGGTTGATTTCCATTCTCCGTATCTGCTCTCTTCAACATCAGACACTGACAGAAGTCCGATGATTTATCATTGGAAATGATAAATCAATACAAAATTATTCATATTTGTTGGTATATTTGTTCTTTTAATTGCTACAATAAAGTCAACATGAGGGATGAGCGCAGCATTAGCCTCTGAGCTGTTGTTCTAAACACTGAATGTTTTCTTATGCAGGGCGTTTGAGCTGGAATATATCAAAGCCCTGTATTTGCAGATGTAAAAGACTTCTGGAAGTGGCTGAGAAATAGGAAAAGTTGAATTGCACACATGAAAATCAATTTCATAAGGCATTCGGGAGCCTCTGCATGTTTTCCTTTTAATGAAAATCCATATTTACTTTCTGTAATTGCGTCGGCCAATTACCCGTAAACATCACTCAGCACTTTGTAGTCGGAGTATCTGCATTTGATAACGATATGGTGGTTCAATTTTATTTTCCAACTATAGAGGAGACGCATGCCGAAGCTTTCGATTTCATTATGGAGAAACATATAAGCTAATAACATTCTAAAACATTAATTTAGCCAGGCTTTGATGAGGAACACAGGCTAGCTGCTCAAATGCACGGACATGTTTTTCTCCCTAGCTGTGTTTGTTGTATTATTAATGCATTATTTCATTTTTGAATTTGCTTTTAAAAAGTCTCAGCTAATGAAATGTTTCTTCAAAAGCCTCCCTATCGTACAGTGCTAAAACAAGTCCAAAATAAAACTTTAAATCAACTCGGCTAAAAAGAGACTCCCAACAGCAGTGGGGAAAAGGCGTACATTCTGTTGATTAGTATTTATGATGGTTTATGTTTAATATTGAGCAGAAGGCATGTGCTTTTGGGTGGGGGAGGGAGGGGTGGGGTGGGAGTTTGGGCCAACAACTTGCTCATCAATCCGGTAACACTAATGCACAGCTGTGTTTCAGCAGCTGTCTGTTGGGCTTGTGTGTAATTACGGGTATTTTCTGTGTCATTAGTGACCTGCGGCGGGGGTCGTCCTCATCAGTGGTCAATCAGGATGTCACTCAAATCCAAAACCTCTCAGCTGGCCGTTCTTCAGACAGGCCAAGACCTCATCAGTCCTGTAGAGGAGCTCTAAAACACAATCAGCGCTGTATGAGTGTGTGTGTGTGTGCGTGTTTGTGTGTGTGTGTGTGTGTGTACTCCAGGTTTATGCCACATTGTGGGGACCAAAACCTGTTTATACACTTATGTTCTGTGGACATTTCTTCCTTGTGGGGACCACAAGCTTGTTACCACAATGAAAATCATAAAATTTTGAGGTGAAGATATGTTTTGAGGCTATGCTTAGGGTTCGGCTAGTAGTAGTTATGGATAAGGTTTAACTAAATCTCCAGGCAACGAAAGGAAGTCTTTGTCCCCACAATTGACAGAAACAAATAATGTTTTTTCAACTTTGTTAAAAAATAAACCCTTTTTTAAAGGTAATTGATGGTAATTTGGGTCACAGTTTATTTTATAATACACTTTGTAACTAGTACTAAGTATGTAGGAATCAAAACTAATGTCTAATACATACTGTGGGGTCCAAACGTCTTAGATCACATTGACCACACTGAGGTTCTTTGTATTTAAACTGTAAAAAAAACAACAGAAACAGAACAAAAAATATGACAAGTAAAATGAATAACTAATATTCAAGATTCTGCTCTATTTCTTGGCCATTAATCAGACTTAAACATATTTGTGATGCTGGCAACATTTAAAAGGAATTCAACTGGTAATTCAATCACTAAGCTATAAACAGTTATTCAGAGTAGTTTAATGTGAAATGATTCATTGTAGAGAAATGGACTCAGTTTTTTCTTACAGTGATGGTGGTAGGAACCAGAGGCTGTGATGTCTGCAAAACAAATATAGCCATTTTATTTACTATCCACAATGAAAAGTTTTATATGCACTGTTGATAATGATAAAATAGTGAGGTTTTTATTTGGGGCTATTTTACCCACAACACCCTGCATGTACATCTCTGCCATGAAAGCATTTTAAGAAATTCCTTTTAGGCCAAAACCTGTTCTCAAATCTTAAGGTGTCTCAGGTATCAGGCAGCATATTCAGAACCATTTCATGTAATAGCTTTCTTTCTTTTAGCAACATTAAACTCTTCAGACATCTGGTTCTTATCACTGCCACCATGAACAATGCTGACTCAGTACGTTTCTCCACAGTGGAGCATTTCACATCAAACCCCTCTGAATGACTGTTTACATCTTAGCCATGTAATTATAGAATTTGGTGGTTGGTAGAATTCCCCTTTCAGGCTTTTGCACATAAAGGTTAGCTGTTTTATTTCTTTTTTGAGTCTTATCTCTTTCATTGAGGCTTGTGCAACTCTCAGGTGGATTTAGTCTACTGATCAGAGGCTTTTGCACAAACTTGTGGAGTCCATGCCAGATCATGTACACTGACATTGAAGCAAAAGGGGGACATACAGTACCAAATACTGAAATGCTGAAATTTGTTTTAAAATTTAAGAATTCTACATTTCACTCAAATGATGCTGATAATATCATTGTGAAAAACTTAAACTGCAGTTCTTCTTCAGAAGTACTTGGTATTTCTCACGTTAGTAACTATGTACTTACATAATGAACCTGCAAAGGGTTAAAATAGGTATTACTTAAGTACTAATAGTCAGCACTACAAGATTATCTATTACATTCAAAGTAGTTATTGCAGTGTAACATCAAATACTGCTGTACAATCCTTGTAGTTTTCACATATGCTACTGTCTAAAGTTTACACATGCTTGTCATATAATAATAATAATTTCTGTTTTGTTTAATAATAAATTATGTAAATGATTATGTGCTTTAATATCTGACATTCAAATGATGTGCCACACATTACTTCTAATTAATACAAATTGTAAAGCAAAGTGCTACTGTAACGTATTTATTAATGCTGATCAAAAAGGTTTAATTAAATGCCTAAACTAACTGATTCTTCACTTGTTTTGTTCCTGAAGAAACTCCTGCAGAACATATTTGCAGCTCAATTCAGATCCACCTGATTCACACAAAGTTTTATTACACACTTCTATATTCTAAGAATAGCTCGGCCAGTTTGCATTGATGTCCTAGTAGTTACTGAATAATAAGCCTTAGTATGTAATAAGGCTGGGATTTTAGAGTGAATAATTAAAAGCTGTTAAAGGTAAGACACTATTATGAACAACAACTGTGAGAGATTTTCCCATATTATGCACACCAATGGAATATTTTGAAAAACGTCTTTGGCTGAACTACAACAGTAAGCAGATTGTGTTGATGTGATGTAATTCTAAATGAAATGAATTGATTTGTCTTTATTTTAAACATGTGCATTGCAATTATAGTTTAATTGACATTTGGAGATGGAATAGTCATATTTTAAAGATGTTGCAGTGAGAATAAGGAATGAGAGAAAATCATTGATTTATCAAAAAGGGGTTTATTGTATTTCCCCCACCCCCAACATTATAAAAAAACAGAACGTTAGATTGTCTACAAATTTGTTTGTAACAATACAGGGATTAAGACATATAAATACATACATGGATATCTTTTTTAAAAATACTTTATAAACCAACAAAGAAAAAAAAACATAAAAAGGCAGGTTAGGTTTTTTGGCTAGTAATTACATTTGCATTGCTTCCTCTTAAGTGGTTATAAAGCTAACCAGTTTTTATGGATAAGGCACGAGGGATTAAAAAAATCCTCTCTTCTCTTCTCCTCTTCTTCTTTTTCTTTTACTGGTCCAGATGAACAATGTCATTATAATACATTTCAGAAATATAAAGTTTTTCAAACTCCAGTGGACGCGAGTGACCAGTGTTATGAGTGTGACCAAGGATATACAGTAAAGGCCATCCATCAGACACGGTAGGCTGGACAGTAGATAAGTATCAGCACTTCAGTCAATCTCCCTTTTTCTTTTTGATGTGTCTGACTCAACATTGGCGCAAGACTTGAAGAAGTAGCTCTCCTTGTCTGTGTAGTTCAGGAATGGCCAACGCTGGGCCTGGACATCTATCAGTTTAGTTTAGTTCCAACTCTTAGCTAACACACCTGCAACAGCTGTGCTTAAGATTAAGCTTAGGCTAATTACAACTTACATTTTTATGAAGGTTTATACTGTACTAAACATAAACAGGCTGCACTGCATAAAGGTAGCTTTTTTGTTAAGCGTAGTACCTGTTAAACCTTTATATCAATCCCTAAGCAGCTGTATGCTGCAGTAAACATTTACAGAGTGATACATTAAATGTACTTGATTCTAATGTGTATCATTTCCACATGAATAAAATGTACTGCATCAACATAGTCAAGTCTTTTAGTTTACATACTTGTGGCAGTTTTATTGACGTAATATATCTTTGCTGTCATAAAGGAAAGCATCTTCTCTCATCACCTGCTCTTTTTGAACTTACACTAATGCAATGTGTTTGGCCAGCTCAACATACTTGGAGGAGAACACTAACCTCCAACTCTGTTACACCAGCTAATGGATGGCCATGTTGGCTAGCATTGCTCTAGGTAATGGGTTAGGGAGGACTATCTTACTCATCCAGAGAGAGTGAGGCCAATTGTGCTGTATTGGACTCCTGACTACAGATGGCTAGGGCATCACCAGGCATCGTATAGACAGTTGTGCCACTTAGAAGCAAAGCAAAGCTTTATCTTTTACTAAAATTGAACTTTCTTTACTTGTTAAAAGGTGCCTTTTCAGCAATAGGACGTTTTCTTACAACAGCAGTGTTATATTGCTCATGTGGAATTGGCACATTTGAATCAAGCAATTCATCAATCAAGACCGATAGAAGACATTAGAGCCAAATCTGTTGGAGCTAAACTATCCAAGCTAGTAGATATCCAGGACCAGAGTTTAGCACCCTGTAGTCCAATGCACAAAGCGGGAGTTCAGTTGCACACACAAGTGTCCAAGAGCCTGTGCTTCTTTTTTCCTCCTCTAGAGGGCCTCCTGTAGGGGCCAGACTGCTTTACTCAACCTCTGTCTGACAGAGGTCAGTTGGTTAGAGGTCGTCACCGTCATCTGTGCTAAAGCTGCTCCTGCGGCTGCTCCCTTTGGAGGCAGCGGGGGAGGTGGCCGAGAGCAGAGGGTCAGCGCCAAAGGGCGAGAGCGCTTCATCCATCAGGATCTCATCCAGCCGATGCTCTTCTTTCAGAGTGGCACTGAAGAAGTCTGTGAAGTGCGAGAGCGGGTCCGAGAACGTGGTGGAGACATCAGCCTGTTCGCTGACTCCTCCGCCTCCTCCTGCTGAGACAATGGCGGGGAGGGAGGTCCTCTGGAGGTATTCAGGACCGTTGAGCTCCTCCTGAGGGTACAGAGCAGGCTGAGAGGCCTGAGGGGCCTGTGGTCCTGGGACAGGCTGAGGGGCCTGCTGCTGCTGCTGCTGCTGCTGTTTTAGCAGGTGAGAGGAGAGTTCCACAGCCCCCAGAGTACTTGGCAGACCATGAGCACGAGCCTGAATCTCCAGCTCCTGTTGAAAACACATGCACGTTAGATATAAATTTCTGACTTCAAATGACTGGACTCAGTTACAATTCTTTAGAATAGCGATTCACCCTCAAAACAGTTATAAACTAGTGTCAACTTGTGTGTCTAGTTAAGGACAACACATTTCATGTTACTTTCAACACAACCTGTGTTCCACATCTCTGCTTACTTAAGGACAGTGCGATTCACATTTCATATAGTCATTTTCATAAAAAAAACAATTTCTGTTGGTCATTTGTCATGAAATGTTTACACAATATCAACAGCAGCTGACATTTTTAAATGGTGTAAAAAAAAATCAAAAACAAAAATGGATTTAATAACAGGTTTTAGCTATTAATAATCTTTCAATAACTATTAATAATGTTGTCTATTACAACATGTTATGAAGCCTTATACAGTAACAGACTCCAACTTGACTAATCAGTAAGTAACTAGTAATAATAGTAACTAAATCATAATTATCAATAGTCAAAACTATCAATTCAAGTCAATTATCAAAACTATTTAATAGTTAATACTACTAAAGAACCTTGACTGATGAATTAATGGCAATCTTGGCTGATTATAGAGCTAATTACTAATAACAGATTACTAATAGATAGCTAATAATACTTATTGCCTCACAGTTTTTAAGGAACTTATAGTTTTTAACTAATTAATTAACTATAAATCGTTAGCTAGTATGGAAACTGACCCAGGCTTGACAAATAAGGGAACTAATAACTAATAATAACTGCTAATAGTTATAGTTAGTCTACTAATATTTATTGCTCAATATTTATTAAAGAATTAATAGTTTTTAGTTTAAATCTAATAGTTTGAGAAATTATTATACAGAAGCTAATACAGAAACTTACCCAAACATAACAAATAAGGGAGCTAATGACGAATAAAACCAACTTATGGCTAAATAATAACTACTAATAGGTGTCCATTACTGTAATTATTCACCAGCTTCTACAACCAAGCTGTGAATAGTTCAGCAGTTTTCTTTTGTGAAACTCAGGATAAAGCAGACTGCCTGACAGTGCTGGCTGTATGCAGAAACACAGTGGAGGATCAGTAGCTGCTGGATGGGGAGACGGTGGATAATTACTTTGGTGGCTAATTGCGATGTCTCTGCGTGTGAGGACTCCTGTAATGTCTCCGCTGCCTGCTCTGTGAGTATGTCAATACCGCGGGAATGTAATGCATAATTTCAGATGAGGGGGGACTCTTCTGTATTATTAGGCCTCATAATCTAATTCCAGGCCCATTCCTCTCCTGACAGAGCTGTAGCTCCGCTGTTTATTAATCAGGTAATTACCCCAGCTCGCTAGGCTTCAAAGCAGGAGGAGCTTTAACTGCAGTTAAAAACATCAGTAACACGGGCTAGTCTGCTGTCAGGCAGCGGAGGAGGACAGGAGGGCTGTGGGGAGAGTTGGGTGAAGACCGGGACATGAGACAGGGTTCTGTCTGACTGCTTTTCTGTCTGCCTTACTTATATCCAATACACACTTTTCCACTCGTTTTACTCTTTGGCATTTTCCCTAATGTGAAGTTGTTCCTATTCAGAGCCATTAGGCTCTATAATGAGTCAACCTACAGCCAGTGATGACCACACTCTGACTGAATGGCTCTGTGCTGTACTATTGACTAATAGTAGTCTGCAATTATCCTAGTATTTACATGGTTATACATAGTGTTATTGCTGCCAATTATCTCAAACCATAATGATATATGTGCAACATGTAATGTATAATGTTCACTTTTTAATATACAACGTATAACATGCATATATCTTACTAACTTTTTAAACAGTAGCTTAAAGTGAGTTAGGGTTATTGTTATTAATCTGAAGGTTTTTTGTCCAGGAAATAGCATGAATTGACTACTAGTATACCTGCTGATGGGGTTTAAAGTTTAAAGAGTTAAATGACTACATCAGGTTATATTATATGTAAAAATCACCTGCATTTAAGGTCATATTTGTAAACCTATGATGTTGTCTCCTATAAGCATCTTGTAAATTCTGTAGATTTTTATAGCCACTCCTAATGTTATCTATGTTAGTGAATTATACTGTTCTTGTATTGCATTGCAGTTTCTTTTGGGGTTAAAAAGTTTATGGCCTTAACATATGAATCTCTTTATATTCTCTTTCTCTCCCCCTCTTTTGCTCTCTCTCTCTGTACCTGGATCCTGAGCAGTAGTCTCCTGTTGGCCTGCTCCAGCTTCTTCTGTCGGCTCTCCAGCTCACGGGCATGCTGCTGCTCTTTCTGTAGCCACTTAATGTACTCCACTGAGGCCTTGAGGATGGTCCCTTTGTTCCAGCGCATATCACTGCCAGAGAAGGGAAAAGATAACCTTTTTCACGCAAGCCTCGCGTCAGCAGAACCTTCACATGCACAGGAAAAATACCCTCACAAAGAGCCCCCTTTTTTACAGGAATAAGAAATGGTGATTTACATGGCCAATTATTCATTCTCGGACATTACATTGCCTTTGAATGGGAATTTTAATAGAATAGTTAAGTGTGTCTGCAGAAAGTCCATTCTGTGGCCCTTGTATGGTAAAATTAATCCTTGAGTAAAAATAGGTGTCGGAAGAGGTAAGAAAAAAAATGAACTTTGGAAGCTGAAGTAAAGTGCGCCCATTCCTGATTCCATTACTTTTTTAAAAGGGAGGAAGTGTGGTAAAATTGTCTCTTTCTTTGGAGTAAGACGTTGGTCTGATCAGAGCTAATAATCTCCTTTATCTTGTGCTAATGGCACAGTGACAACGGTAACCTTCCATTTAAATTCTATCAAAAGTTCAATTGAGCTGGGCCACTGGATTCCCTCTCTGGACCATATTCCATCTGTAGGTCCAATTGTGCTTAAACTTTGATTCAACTGGCCTGTTCTTCGCCTTTAACCCCATTTTCATCATTCAAATGGGGCTTTGCACTGAGCTACTGATACCACTTCACACTGGGCGAGCAGACAAAGTGCAGTCTTTGGGTGCAACTTTGAAAGTGAGGTCATTTTGTATTTCTGTCATTCATTTTGTACAGCCATGTCATTTTTATGCATTTTTGCAGTAGCTATAGGCTATTCAGGCTAACAAATTAGACTAATAGATTTTATTCCTAAAGTCTGGTGACACATTTTCCCCTTAACCTCAATGTAGTTGGTCAACCAAGACAGGTTTGGTGTCTGAAATTTGCTTCTCTGGCTTTGCACTGGAGCTACGAGGCTGATGTAGCTAAGTAATTATACCTCACATATTAGCATCCTGCAACATTTATGGCTAAATTGTCACACACTTGCCTCAAACTGTGACAAATCATTATCTCATACTTGCTTACATTGTTTCTGACACTGTATTACACACTGTTCCCCACTGAAAAAAAATGATGATTTTGCATCCTAATGGGAATTGTCTTAAAAGTTACCACTCGTTTCAAAGAGAACACTTTTAGATCTGGTTAGAAAACCACCTGATACATCTAGAATTAGTCACAGGTCAGTTGTTAAACCGTTAGGATTCCTTACATCGTGGTATCAACCCAAGCCAAAACACATTAAAAACCCACCAGTGACCAAAAGAAACTTTCAATGTTTTTATGTTTTTTCAGCATGATTATCTGCTAAAATCTGTTAAAATGTAGCAGCAGTAGCATCATTTACTTTTGTCTGTACTTTTGTCTATTTTTGGTAGATAAAAATATATCATACAGTGTCGGAGACTACATGAGGGAGCCTATGTAAGACTGCTTAACAACTTGACTTAGTTTAAAGCAAATGTGTGATTATTTAGTGCAAGTACAGGCATGCAATTCGCACAATGTTAATTCATAAGCTTCTATTTCTTGTTAGCTACGTTGACCTCATAGCTCCAGTGCTAAATCAAAAAAGGCAAACTTCAGATACCAAACATGTCTTTGCTGATTGTTTACATTTGAGCTAAGGGCATAATTATGCGAATTTATTTTAAGAATCATATATTATAAGAATATAAATAAGAATATTTTATAAGTCAAACTGAACGAGGTGCTACTCACGGGTCATTGGACTTTGGTATGAGAGTTCCAAGCTCCTTGATTCTGTAGTTGATATTGTACCGTCGCCTTCTTTCAACTGAAGGAAGGAGAAACCAATAATTTATATCCAACACACAAACTAAAAAAATACTGTATACTAGCACTTTCAGGGCCTGTGCATTTCAACAGAAGAGGCAGCTTACTCAGATTGTGGTTGTCTTTTTTCTGTCTCTCTTTTGCTAAGACTCTGGTATCATGTTCTGCAGGGAAAGAGAGAAGAGGAGAGAGTTTTAGAGACAGCATCCAGACGCTGTTTACAAAGGGTTCAAGTCAGGGTGCATAGTATTGTGTCTGTGGTGGTAGACAATGAACTTAGACTAAATAAGACGCAAGTTAGATAAAATATTTATAATTAGAATCAGCAAAAGTCAACTAATCCCTAACACCCAAAGCCCTAAAATCAGACCTTCAGCAGATGCTTTGCTAACCCACACAGCAATATGAGTGTTCTCTTGGCTGTGAATGAGCTATGTTCATTCTTCTAGGCTCTTAGTTCTTTGGCTCACTGTAGGAACGCTGTGTGCCCTCTTTTAAGACACCCTCGCTGACAATTAACTCAGCTTTACAAATTTGCTGATGTACCGAATCAGGGAAGAGCCAAAGTGCTCCAGCATCCAGAATCTCACTCGCATTCTTCTAAATTATGTAATGGGGACGTGTGATTGGATTTCTCAATTCATTTCTGCTGATTCAATAGGGACATTTAAGCTGTGTGCAACCACTCATTGTCCTGCAGCACGCTTATGTGAAAAAGATGGTAATTGACTTATTTTCTCGTCAGAGTGAAGAGTTCTTGAGGCATCCTTAATATTTCCTAAATCAATTAGCTTTACTTGATGCATGACATTCATAAGGGGAAAAAAGTCTCTCTTAAAGAGGCCTTTGTTCCATGTGTAGCACACCAAGCATATATGCCAGCACATTCAGCCAACTGAAGCGTTGATAATGCGAAATACGTGCAATAAAACAGCAAGACAAACAATGTGCACTCTGAATCCCCAAAATAAGCAGGCAGCCATTGACATAAAACATATTGGCGTGTTTTCCTTTCACATTCAGCCTCATTACATTTAAAGCAATAGTAATGTACTCACATACAAACATGGCAGCAGTTACAGTAGGTGGGGTATGTGCGTGAGTTTACTGAATAGCAGTCATGCTGCTTATGCTACAGTGTAAAACCGTATTAATTTTGAAATGACTGGTGCAGTTAGGGGTCTGAACCATAAACTTTACGCTGAAAAAAGCAATAGATTCAATTTACTTGATTCAAGTGTGTATATCGTTTCCATATAACTGAAATATTATATTGGGCAATTTTCACATATTTTTATTCATATAGGAATGTTGCTCAGATTCGAATCTAATGAATTCAGATTTCTTTTTCAGTGATGTGGTTGTGAAATAAAGCTTCACTGATGGATTCCTCTGTTGAAAAGGTTTTTCTAACAGCGCTGGGTCTGGGTTCCAAAAAGCCTCATAGCATCACAGTTTGGTAGATATAGTGCTCAAAGTGGTCCTCACTCTACCACCTTACTGACGATCATTCTGAATGCTACCAGGCTTATTGGAAGCTGGACCCAGCAGCTGGACAGATAGGCAGCTGTGCTCCGTACCTGTGACTTCCCTTTTAACAGAGAACTTTGTGGGGCATGAGGGGGGTGTCAGTCCACCATGAGGGGCAGTCATACCTTGGTCACCGCCGTACACCTCCAGAATGCCACTGTTCAGGGACACCTTTAGGAAAAGAGAGAGAGAGGAAGAGGGGAGAAGGTGAGAAGTGTTCTAGATATCATCGCTGTCATAACAAAGGCACATGTCCAAAGTGGTTAACTTTACAGAAGAATGTTCTTCACTTGAATTGGGCATTTCTATTGGTCTATTGGGCTCATTGTGAAATGTTCACCCAATGTTAAAGGCAAATGGTATAAAATATGTATTTTATGTGATTTATTTCATTTATTATATATTTATAGAGACAATTTTGTTGTTTGAAGATTCTGTTCCACCATATATGGTCAGTTTTTGTTTATCATGTTTCGTGTGAAGTATTATTTCAAATTAATCCTTATTAATCTAAAATGTCTCAAGTGAATGGGGCCCCCAAAATGGATTTCAATTAAGACCCCCAAAATGTTCAGAAGCAGTCCTGTTTACATAGTTTACATAGTAGTAGCTTTTTCATAAGTTTGTGATAGTTTTGACTTTTGACAAGCTCCAAGAAATGAGGTTGTGAATGTGAGTGAGATTCTGAATGAGTTTCCGAGTGTGTGTGTGTGTGTGTGTGTGGGTGTGTGTGTTGCATCATTTGATGGTAGCAGTGCATTAGAAGCAGCTCCATCTGCCAGATTCAAAGTTCTACTGCATTCAGTTATACACTAACAAACAAACAAACTTGCTCCTCCAAACAGCACATTTCTACTCTGTCCCTTTGCTACAATTTTAGATATAAGCTACAATTCAGTTCTGCCTGTAGGGTTTTCCTTTTGATGAGTGAAACAAAAGCTGCATGATGACAAGTATGGCCAGTTCTAGAAGACTCAAAAAAAGTAATGCATTGAATTTAATTCATTTAAACAATGTGTTCATATTTTGTGTTGATTTTTGCCTTTTTTACCACCATTTGAAAACACCAGCTGCTCTTTACATTTTGGGCATATTTTCTGAAGAATGGACTGACAGAAATGACCCAAGATTACATAATAAAAGCTTGCTCTATCAACCTGCATTAAACTGGCATTCCACCAGTTCTTCGAAATTTCTGCACAATGAAATCATTAAAATGTACTCAAAGGCAATCAGACTGATTTAATGTGAAATGCTCAATTCCTGTCCATGTAAGAATTTATGTTTTTTTTCTCAGATTTATCACTACTTCACTGCTTTTAACATTACATTTAAAAATGCAGAAGGTCCACTGGTCATTACTGTTGTAAGGATTTTCTGAGTTGATAAAGCTTCTCTACTATGGACTTCACACCAAATCAGCCCGAATAACTTTGTTTATATCTCAGTGATTAAATTATGCAGAAATTGTAGAAAAAGGTGGAATTTCCCTTCAAACTTTTATGTCCTGGAAAAACCCTGTTGAGCAAACTAGTGTGGTAAAGGATTAAAGAGGGGGTCAGGGCTAAAGAGAGAGACAGAAAGAGAGAGAGAGAGAGACAGAGAGAGAGAGCGAGAGAGACAGAGAGAGAGAGCAGCAGCAGATACTGCAGTGTTTGACTGGTTGCTTTGCTGTGCCTGTGCTCCGTGTACCCCATTATCTCAGCTTGGGAAGCCAGCGCTTATCAAAATGAAAGATTGTTACAGTCCCTCGACTGCTGCCGTCGTAATCACTTCAATCCATTCCCATCCGTGTTCACGGATATGTTGACACGGTGAAACGGCGTGATGCATCACGCTGTATGACTAATTAGAACGAATTGATCCGTTTAAGCATGGTATCATTTCTGAACAAGCCCATTGGGAGTCTAAGCATTAGCCCAATCCAATGCCTCACTGCCTCTCTCCCTCTCTCAGATGCAATCTCTCCTCTCTCTCTCTCTCTCCTCTCTCTCTCTCTCTCTCTCTCTCTCACTCTCTCTGTCTCTGTCCTACTCTTTCTCCTCCACCACTCTCCTCCTCAGCTGTCACACCATCCCTCTTTCTTTTGTGTGATCTTATAAGTAAAGGTTTATTGAATCTTTACTTTATATGGAGGCTCTTTTAGGTTGAAAAAAGCTTATTTACACTCATGGTTCTTTGAAGGACCATCCATTTAACTTTTTCCATGCCATCACTCCAACCCCTTTTTGCTACCTTAATTTTTAGGAGCATACTAATCTTTCTCTGTCTCTGTCTCTTCTCTCTCTCTCTCTCTGTCTCTCTCTCTCTCTCTCTCTCTCTCTGTCTCTCTCTGTCTCTCTCTCTCTCTCTCTCTCTCTCTCTCTCTCTCTCTCTTTCTCTCTCTCTCTCTCTCTCTCTCTCTCTCTCTCTCTCTCTCTCTTTCTCTCTTACCACCACTCTCACACCATATTCTGTTAAAAATAAAGGTTCCTAAATGGTTTTTGAATTGTATGGTACTATGAAAAATCTTGAACTGGTACGGAATCTTAAATGGAGTTTTAAAAACAAAGAACCCCTTCTGCCATTTCTATTTTCAGGAGTGTACACAGTCTCTCTCCTCTCTCTCTCTCTCTCTCTCTCTCTACCACTGTCTTCACACCATCACTACTTCATTCGGTAACACTGGGGTTCTCTCTGTCGCTCTGTGTCTTTTTTTGTGTGCTGGAATGCAACGTGACAGTTCCTCTTTTAGTGATGCATGCCTCTCGAGTGAGTTCAGGTGTTATTCTAATCACTATTCAAGCCCTTCTTTGTCCAGGCCCAGGCATCAGCGAAATGCTGCAGAATTTTGTGGCCAGTTAAAGAAACACAGGGGGCACTTGTATCCCTAGACGCCCATCTGTGCATTTTCATGCTTTCGCTAAATTGCACTTCCTTAGCTGATTATCCATCTCTCTATCTCTCCATGTTTCTGTCTGTTCCCTCTCTTTCTTCCTCATGATCTGCAAAGAGAACTGGCTTTTGAAATGTGTAAGCGAAGGGAGCTGGCCCCCATGGAGAGTAAAGAGCTATATGCAAGGCCTGCACTCATTACCACTCATTTTCTGCATTCCACACAGTGCCTTGATTGTATTAGGCGACTAATCTGTATTGTTACGCAGCTAAGTTGAGTCTTTTCCCCACAGACACCATGAACTTTGACTCCAAGTTTGGACTTAATCTGACCTCACACAAAGGCAAAAGCTTTTTCCCAAGCACACCAAAGGAGAGACACCTTCTGTTTGCACCTCAGATCTATTATTCCCTCCTTGATGTTCTTAAGAGATTTATCTGAAAGTACAAAACGTCTACGAATCTGTGCTTGAGTAATTAGAGTGATTGCCATACAGATGTTGTTCCTTTTTTTATGCACATGCCTCTGTGCTCACTTTGCCAGTAAAGCAAAGGTAAAAGGAAGGTAAAAAGAAACAACAGTCAATGCATTTTTGCAGTAGCAAATTAACATGATCCATACTTACGTTGTTTTGCATTATGATGCTAGGCTCCATACAATCCAAGCCACCGGATTCAAGGCTAATTAGATCATCAATAACTTCATCCATTGGAAACTAAAAGAAAACAGTGATTACAGTGTACCCCTTGTCCTTTTGTCAACACTTGCTGAAAGTGCCACATTCAAACGTGTCTCATCTTTTTAGCATTAACTTCAAAGCCTAATAGTCATTAACTTCAACATAGTAAAGCAGTGCAGAGGGAGGGGCAGGCTGGGGTCCTAAGCCGATAACAAGCATTTCATCATTTCCACACAAGAAGGCTGCAGTGTGGTGGTGGGGAAGTGCCTCTTATCAAACTAGAGAGCCCTTTCATTTCCCTTCTGCTGATCAGTGCTACATGTTTGAAGTTATTGATGAGTGGTGAGGGGGTGTATAGGGGTTATATGATGGTACTCACCTCACTGTCGTGGCTGTTGGCGAGCGTTAGCAGGGTGACGGGGCTGCCGGGTGTGCTGTTGTCGCTGACGGGCGGCATGTGTCCATTGCGCATGACGGGCATGGGGCCCAGGGCCTGCCCTGGGTGCGGGTGGGCCTGACTGGCAAGCTTGCTGCCCAGGGTCAGGTACTGCTTGACCTGCTGGGCCTGGGCTTGGTGTATGTGGTACTTGGAGCTCTCCAGGTGGTTCTGAACCTGAGGATTGAGACAGTCAATCTTTATTCTGCTGTCATATATATTTATATATCTGCTATCTGAAGTTTGACCCTAAGTAAGCAACATTTAACTCCTTATAAAGGACAGATATGTTGGACACTTTCCAATCTCTCTGAAATAGTTGGAATCATTTACTTAGAATAGACACCCAAAAAGCTTTCTTCTTGAGAGTTTATCAAAGATTACTAAAAAGCTTCCCTGAAAAGCTCTATCATTACCTACTTTTCCAGTCCAGGCTTCACTTATCAGTCCCAACAATCCATAATGCAGAGCCAAGATTTAGATTCTAGCAAATCAACCAGTTGAGGAGGCTGCTGTAGAACCATTTCCACACAAGAAGCCTTAACGTTTGGCTAAAGCGCTCAAAAATCAAGCTAAAAGACCAATATTTGGGGTCTAGTACTACTGACCAGTTCACTGAAGCTGTTTTCCGAGAGAATCCTAGAACTATTTCCACACAAGAAGCCTTGAAGTTCAATAGTAACCCACAAAATTGTAATAGTAACAATGACAACCCGCAAAACAATACTCAAACTAAAACACCATACTCAAGCAGCTTTGTGGAAACCAATGTCCTATTGAAGCAAAACAAGTCCTTACGCTGGAAACTCTGGCTCCGTCTCGCATCTTGTAGTAGCTACAGTCAGTTAAGTGTGGCATTCTCAGAACCAGCGTGTCTTCTACAGCTCAGAGGAGGAACTCTAGTAGGATCACAGGCTGAGGTTATCTTGTGAGTGGATACGTAGTGACTGCCCCCTCCTATCCACCGCTGTCCTTATAAACTGACTGGCTGCAGTAAATGACCTAATTAGCAAGGAGGCCAGGCTTGCCCTTTTATTGCCCAGTGTGGTAATCACCTCAAACAGAGGGTCATCAGAGAACTGATCTGGCTGAGTTTGATCACCATAGGATGCGTGTGCGTTGTCTATATCTCCAATTCAGGAGGACCGCCCTATTCTGTTTGTGCAAAGCGGCCAGTCACAAACCAACCCAGCCTCCCCCTACCATCCCACCCTCTGCCACTTCTGCTTCAGGGATTCAGAAACAAATGCCACTTGTTGTGTGTGGTTTCTGAATGACCCAGGGGCCCGTTTCAGACAGATCCCACTGAGGGCCATTGTCTTCAGACCGCTCTCAAAAACTAACTGTCAAGAACTGGGCTCTCTCATCTTTTTATTAGGCCACAACACATCGTAAAACTAAATATAGGATGGACCTTTTCACTTTTGGGAAGATTGAAATTGCCCCGTTTTATCAGAGTTCACAAAGAGCCAACTGTGATGTTACTCAATGACAGCCGAAGTATTTTTGGAAAGGTCTGAAAATAAACTTTTATTGCCATGTGGCTAAAAATATCTCAATTGTCCTCCAAGATTTTTTTTCTTCCTAATGATGTTATTAATAGGAATTACTGTTTGTTAAAGTGAAAGTGACTGTTATGCAACCTTATCTTCAGATATTATTATATTCTATTCTAAAATATATTTAGACAACACTTTTTATTTTTAATTTTATTTATTCGCCTAACATGGTGTGACATTCAGAAATAAATGATAATGGTTTCCTCCCAAATTCCTTGTTTTTTTCTCAAAATGATTTGCTATCGAAAGTCAGAAGTGGCCTCATTTTCAGAATATTCTCTGGTCATCATCACATTTTCATCCATATTTGGACAAAGCTCTTCAATTAATCAAATGAAACACAGGAATTTCTGGGAAAATGCTGGGCAAAAAAAACTTTTATGGTCATTTGGCTAAATATTTATTTTCTGGTGAGGGTTTTTCTTTTTTTTGCCTAATGTTGCATGACATTCTGAAATAAATGTGACTGGTTTGCCCCCAAATTACTTTCTTTACTCAGAATTATTTGTCATTGAAAGAGGCAGAATTACACCACCTCATTTTCAGAATGTTCTCTGGTTACCACACGACAAATTGGTGCCTATATTAAGAAAAGGCCCTTAAATGAATGAAATTAAGCCGAGACTTCTCGTCTTCTGTGTTTATGGAAGTTCACATAGCAGCCATAGCCCAGCAATTACCTCAGCAGAAGAGCATCAGATCTGAATGCATATTTAAGAGTTCACCACAACACGGCTTACACTTACAAGATCAGTCAGAAGTCAAGCTCCTTTCATCAGCCTGCAGGATTCGTCATAAGTCAAAGACAGTGTTTTTTCTGCTGTCAGGCGAAGGTTATGAAAGATACACAAGTCACAGTGTTTCCTGTGTCTCCAGTATGCAGGCTCGTAAGACCCTCTAAAGCCTTTTTTTCAACAGCATGTCCTTGGCTTACTTTTCCTCTCTGTACTGTAAATGGCGGAGACATGCTTATTAGCCAATTAGAGGCTGTAATTTGATTCAAGCTGTAATGGTTCTTCAGTCACTAATGCAGGCCAGACAATGGCAGGCCTATGTGTGAAGACACACAGCCGTATTGAAAACAACAACAGGCGAAAGAGGATTTTCTGAAAGGGTGATTTACAGAACTTTTCGCTGCTGAATGATGTGAACGTAGAACATTTTTATAAGTTTTAATGCTTTTTTTTTCTCCATAGCTTTCCCTACTGTAGCTAAGGAACTCTTGGAAAACTTGTTCGCTACTGTTTTTGTTGGCAAGAATCAAAAGGAAGATGATGTTGAAAACTTCTGAAACTTTTTGAGTGGAATTCAGATTTAAGAACAGTGTAGAAGTTAGTATGTAGAGTCAGAGCAGCAATACCTTTTCTGTTGTGTTTGCTTTTCTAATTCCATACCAGCTCTGAGAGAACGCAGGAAATTTAGCTTCTATTAGAAGCACAGCTGTAGCTTCATAACTTCATTTTGCCCATTTAACTCACTCAGATGAGGAATGCTGCACTGGCTATACACATGGCTAATCTGATACGACAGAGTGCACACTCACCCATACCTAACTAGTGTAAAAGTAAAGCCTCTGCTCTCACAGCTCCATGTCACAGGCTGTTCCCTGATAAATTTAAGGTAGTCCAAGCAACTTTTCCTCTCATAGTTAAATTTTATGGCATCAATTTATTAAGAAGGACATGCCTTGCAAGCTAAAGGCTAATGTGATCTCCTGCCTCAGCTACAGCTGCACTTCTAAGAGGAGCATCTCTCCTGCCTGAAAGCTGAAGTATATCAAGATTAACGAAATACAGATGGCTCCTTAAACATTTGTGAATCTAGATGCACGAGTCACATGTTCATTAATTTTTAAATATGAGAAAGAACATACAAATTTAAAGAACATCTCACAGAAATGAGTTTACCTTATTGAATTGCGTGTTTGAGAAATGTTAGATCCATTCATCAGGCTCCCAGACTTGCTTCAAGTGTGAACTGGAAGGTAATCTCTACTGTGCGGATGAGCAGATGTTGCTCAATTCTCTTTCAGTATTAGCCAAGTTCTCGTTTCACTTCAGAAAAGGTCAAGTTATGAAACACTGGGGTGGATGATTAGCGCTAACTGTAGAAATTATGGACAAAACCTTTCACACCCACAAACCATTCCCCACAACATGCTTTTAGACTGAATGCACAGATTGAGCCAATTGAATCTGGTTCTTGTTATGAACGTTGAGTGCAGTTAATTCTGCACATTCTACCCTCCACAACTGCTCACCCAGAACAGTGGTTAGGTCCATGTTGAGTGTGCTCTCTGACAAACACACAATCGTTGAACCACAAAGCTTTCTAAAGGGAAGAGAAAGTAAAAGCAGGAAAAACCAAAAAGAATTCTGAAATCCACTGTGACCATTAAGGCTATTCTTCTTCCTATGGGAAGCCGTGTCTTGTTTTGAGATGACTGAGCAGAATACCACCCACCCCAGACATACGCTCGTCTGTCTGCTTATGTTTCTTTATATTACTTCACACGAGACAGAAATGCTGCATCATACTGCATAATTTTATATGTACATCGTATTTCTATTATTTCTTTCTGAATCATTTGCCCTTTTGGTATCATCAGTTAGCTTTGCATTATATGCTAAATGTTGTCTATAAAGATTTGATTGTTTGAGCATTTGATAATTTGACTACATGTTATCAACATTATCAGTTAGCATCATGATATAAGCTAAATGGTGTCTAAACATATTTGGGTTTTTTTCTGAGGTGTGTGGTAATTTAGATAAACATTCCCTGTATAATAAGTCAGCATAACAGAACATGCTAAAATGGTGTCTAAAAATATTTTGCAGCATTGGGTCATTTGGCTACTTTATATGTATGACCAGTTAGCATCACGCTATATGCTAAATGGTGAATGAAAATGCCCTTTTATGCCTCATTTGCCAATTTGACCATGTTATCTGTATCAGTTAGCTTTCTGTTAGATGCTAAATAGTGTCTATAAGTTTTTGCAGCATATGGCAATTTTGCTACATATTATTAGTTTAAGCAGTTAGCATGCTAAAACATGAGTATTTGTTTTATTATGCAGCATTTGCTAATTTGGCTTTATTAGTTACATCAGTATTATCAGTTAGCATTGCATTGCATGCTAAATGTTATCTGTTATTTGTCTTTTTTTTACGTAGCATTTGGTAATTTGGCTAGATGTTATTAGTATTATATGTTATTAGTATTAGTATTATAAGTTATCATTGTATTATATGCTAAATATTGTCCACAAATATTAGCTTTTTTAGCTTTTTTCTGGAACATTTGGAAACTTGGCTACATATCAGGAATATGTGTTAGCATCACATTAGCATATATTTAGAGATGAAACTGATCTGATACCAGGTATCGGTATCAGGATGATATCAGCAGAAAATGCTGAACTGAATATTGGAGGGGAAAAAAGAATGTATCTGATCCAATGCAGCAGCAAACTGTTCTCCCATAAAAGTTTAGCAGCTTATTAGCTCTGCGTTGCTAAGAAGCAAGCATACCCCCTCATACACATACACCTTTCTGAGAAAGGTTCAAAACATATCTTAACCTTGCAGTGACATCCAAATTTCAATTTCTATCTCTATCTTTCTCCCTCTGTCTCTGTACCTGCAGCCACCTACCGGCAGTAGCTGGACCTCAGTGAGGGAGATGACTTTGACCACACAGCAGCGGCTCATGGCTCCAGCAGAAGAAGTGAATGCAACAGCACAAAGTGTCCCGAAAACACAAAAACCAAGCTTCCTTCGCACTGAAACCTCAATGAAGAAGGAGCTGCTGTGAGTCAGTCCGGTGTGTGTGCTCTCAGGCATGGAAAAGAAGAAGGATGAGTGTGTGTGTTTGTGTGTGTGTGTGTGTGTGTGCTGTTTTCCTGAGCTGTGTATGTTGAAAACCAGGCCCAGAGAGGAAGACATGACACATCAGCATGCTCAGCACCACGGCTTCCTCTGTGGGTCTTCACTCCAACACCAGCCATTAGCCAAAGGCCTGACGGAGGCACAATTTTAGGTGGACGAGAGCAGGACAGAGAGAGGGGGGGATGAAGCAGTTTTTGTGTGTTCCTGGTTCTTTCCTTTCTGCTAGGCCACAGATTCTTACTCAGCAAATTCCACTCACAGGTTATCTCTCTGCACCCACACTAAAACACGCACACAGGCCTACTGTATTCAACTGCACACAAAGTATATGTCAAAAATATACTTTTCAGGGTCTTACCAGGTCACACATGCACACATACATACTCGGGAAGACACCAGAGGTCAGATAGTGCAGGCATAACACAAGGAAGTGGGAGTCAACTCTTTCATTAAAGCAATAGTTCGGCCAAAAATCTGATTTCTCTTTACCACCAATGCAGTAAGAACATGTTGCATGTCTGTTTGATTTTTTACTTTTGCACTTCTGACAATGTACGATGTAGGAGAGGGTTGTTGAAACATCCCCAGTTTTACCAATTAGTGATTAGCTACATTAACTAC